TACATTAAATACATACATACATACATACATACATACATACATACTTACATACATACATACATACATACATACATACATACATACATACATATATGCGGAACTATGTGTGTATAGGTATATATCATACATATGTGTATGTATATTTGGAGGTTTAGGGGTTAGGTGTTTCGGGTTGCATGATTGGTTTTAGGGATGTAGGGTTTATTGGGTCTCTTAGCTCATCTATGGCTTAGGATTCAATCCATGTCTGATGAATGCAATATTGAGGAGCCGGAAGAAGCAGTCATCGAGCCCGGTTGTAGGTTTAGGGTTTTAGGGTTTAGGGTTTAGGGCCTGTTGCGCGATCAGGTTTGGCGTGTGCTACCTGACCGTCACTTCTTGGCGGCTTTCGCCGGGAGCCTGGCTTGCGTCTTTCGCCAAAGAAGAAGTTCGTAAAAGCGCATTATTCTGTAAACCTCGCTCTGGCACCCAGCGACTTGCTGTGGTGATGAGAGACTTCTGCGCTTTCTTTCGTGCCCTAAACCCGAAACCCCAAACCCCAAACCCTAAACCCTAAACCCTAAACCCCAAACCGTAAACCCCTAAACCCTAAACCCTAAACCCTCCAAGCCTCTTTATCACCCGATGCTTTCTGCCCTTCTGGAGTTTTTCAGAGGCTCCACATCTAGTACCATTGCGGAATTAGGTTCCAAAAGACCAGCCTTGTTAGTTCCATAATGGTGCTCTATATGGAGCCTTCTGGGTTCCCCAAGCTTCACCAGCGGGCAGAGTGAGATGCCAAGAGTGATCGGGACGAGCGGCGACCGACAATTTGTTGAGTCTCTAGTTACCTGGTGTCGATGCAGGCTCATTTTGCTGGGCGTTTGGGCTGTGCTCTTTTACGTGCCACTTGGCGGCAGTATTGTCAATATTGCTGTTAACTACAGACACACGATTGCATGTTTGGGGTGCAAGTTGCTCGTTGCTCGATGTGAATCCACAGCTGAGCGTCTGAACCCCCAATGATGGAAACCCCCTAAACCCTAAACTCTCATCCCTAAACCTTAAACCCTGAACCCTAAACCCTAATCCCTAAACCCTAAACCCTGAACCCTAATCCGTAGATCCTAAACCCTGAACCCTGACCCTAAGACCCTTATCCCTAAACCCTAAAACCCTGAACCCCGAATGTCGGCCACGACAGTACTCCCAGATTCAGAAGCTTGTGGGCGACCTCGGTCCCCCTAGCCCTGATAAGTTATAAGCCTTAGGGTTTAGGGTTTAGGGTTTAGGGTTTAGGGTTTAGGGTTTAGGGTTTGGGGTTTAGGGTTTGGGGTTTAGGGTTTTTTGGTTTAGGGTTTAGGGAATATTCATAAGGTTAGAAGTATGGGCCCCTAATATGGACCCTTACACCTTTCCAGGGACCCTTATAAGGGTACATATAGGGTATATAGTAGGTCCAGGGTCAAGGGCCCATACTAGGGGCCTATGGCTTCAACCTTAGAGTATTAGGGTTTAGGGTTCAGGGTAGAATATCCCTAAACCCTAAACCCTAAACCCTAAACCCTAAAAAGTTCGATTCCGAAGGCCCACCCTTGATGCTTCAAATGTCAATAGCTGTGCTGAAACCTGCCACAGCTCTCTCAACACCTGAGCCGGACATAGTAAGCCCCAAACCCCAACAAAAATAAGCCTTACCTAAACCCCACCAAAGTAAGTAAAATAATGGCCCCAAAACCTATAAAGCGCTACTATTTTACATACTTTTGGGGTCCAGGTACACCAAAAGCCTGAGTGTGATCCTAATGAGCCGATCCCAGGTATGCTGTCTATGGCCGGTTTGCCAGGCACTCGTCGCTGCTCCGGCAGGCCTGTACAGACTTAGCCGCTCTCTTGCTCGGGCATGATACACGAAATTCATGAGAGACACATGTACCTCAGTTGCGCATCACACCACTGTTTGGTGCCTGCAGGGTGCACGCGGCACCCAGGTGCGAGCCACTACTAGCGTCCAAACAATTCCGAGCCAATGCTCAGCAGCTTCAGCAGTGTGGAGTTATGTGCGGCATACTTTGGGTGTTTAGAGTCCGGCCTTCCCCCTAATATTAAAGCCTTCCCTTATGATCCTAATGATTACTAAAACTCCCTGACCCCGGAATTCTGCCGTTTCGGGCCCACAATGGAAAGTTAAAGACAAATATTAGGGGGAAGCTTTGATTGTATCTGGCAGTGTGGGGTTTAAGATGCCGTGAAAAGCGCAAGGACAAGCTCGCCGTGTTGAACGGAGTTGCTACGGAGGCCGCTCCGATTTCCGCGTTTTCTCGATAGTCGTCAGTGCCTACTTGGGGGTACCAGTATCAGGGGGTGCAAGAGTGGTTCAGGGTTTGCGTAGTCCTAGACCCCCCTCCATACCCTCTAATCTACTTTAAACACCCACAATTTGAGGACCATAAGGGCTCTATTCATGGGCCCTTGCGGGGTTCTGATTGGTTGAAGGTTAAAAATTTTAGGGTTTAAGGCTCTTGGTTTTTAGGGATCTAATGATGTGCCTGCCCTTTGGCCCCTGAGCCTTCACCGTTTAATCAACTTCCTGTTTACTTTGAATCTTAAACGCTACCAGCACNNCCCCCCCCCCCCCCCCCCGCCAGATACTCTCGATTATACCCTAAATACCCATTGTTAAGAACGATAACAAGGGCTCTATTAGAGGTTACTTGGGGGGTTGCTGGTATAGACCTCAAACCCTTACTTTGCAATCACTTGGCCCCTCCGTCTTGCAAGATGTGGCTAAGGCTCTGGGAAACGTCCGCACGCTCCGGGCATTTTCCGGAGAAGAGGCGATGATGAACAGGCGCAAAGTCTATAGGGTTTAAGGGGTTCTGGCTTGAGTATGGGAGGCCTGGGGGTTGTTAGGGTTTCCAGGTGTAAGGTTTAGGGCTGGAGCCAGAGACAATCCCACAGACTCCAGATATCCCCAGGAAAGGCTTGATAGCGCATCATAGGTGCCTGAATGACTAGTGTCCTTATTTCGAAGGGTTCCCAAGGCTATATCGCAAAGTCCAGGAAGGCCTGTGCGAACCCTAAGGGTCCATGTGCCTAACAAGTGTATATACTAGGGCCCTAAAGTAGTCCCTGTTGAGGTACTTTGGGGCCCAAGTATACACTATTTGAGTACAGGGTAGTGATTATCGCCACTAGATGATGGTCTCTTAACCTTGACCTGGGAGCCCGAAATATGGGTTGCGAGAGCCAGAACTCCGAAAATATGGAGTTACCTATATA